ACACACATACACACATAAATCACGACGCAGCACACGTCACACCACAATCACACAGCACACAACACACCAACAACACCAGCACACACACAGCAACACACGGGTTGCCCACACCACCACACACACACGCACACATTATACATATACTATATCGTATATATAGTAGTATATAGCAGAGAGAGAGAAAATTGAATTGTTTAAGCTCAACCATTGGAACAATAAGGCGATTATGAAATTGAATAGCATGCTAGCTATTATTTTATAAAATTCTCATGTGGCATAAGCAGGAGTATTTTTAATGAACTTGGTTCACATGTGTGTTTAGTGTGAGACATAAATCACGAGACCTAATGTTCATGGCGCCAACCCCACCGACAAAGATAGTATCGTCACTACTTTTAAAATAAATTTTTAATTGTGCTCAAATGCGGGCATTAATAATCGTTGAATATTTAATTAATCGTTTAATAAATTTCGCGCGGACATTATCCCTACACCGTTCAGTTCAACATAAACAGAGCGGAGCATGGCGCAAGCGATCTTGTGGCTTAGATTATTTGCTCTTTCATTGAATGTAGACGAGACGGTCGGTTACAGAACCAGGTCGTAAACCGGTCGGTCTGGTCCGCGCATCTTTTGTTTTGCACTGTCATCGATTGGTTTCTTTCCGAGTATGCAATAACAATTCGAAGCACTCAACATGACATACATATGATAACATTCACATTTGGCGCATTTAAATATTCTTAATAAATAGCGACGAGTGCCTGAAACACTCATAGATAATTGGTATAGAAATCGCACATTACCCTTCGCTACCTGTTCCTGATTGTGCAATCGTCGCAACAATAATGTGTGCGGTCTCTAATATTTATACGTATGCCCAATCGTTTTGTTGAGTGAAGACAATAATAGTGTCTCAAGCCTGTATTATTCAGCTGAGGCAAAATAGAATAGTCGTTTAACGGTCAAAACAACCGTATTTCTGGTCACGGGCAATACAGCGATGTTGAAGACACGACATAGCGGTGCTGGCTCAGAGCAGCAGACACAGCGACGTGGAATACATATACCAGTAAGTTACTCTCAATGTCCTGTTATCTCTTGCAAGCATAGACAGAGAATACGATATATAGTATCATATATATATATAAGTATATAACAATTATTATAATATGGCGTGTATATATGCGTATATGTTATTATATAGACACGCATACATACATATACGTATTACTATAACAATTTCCTTAAAGCATGTCGACTTCTATTAGCCTAAGTGAAATTAGGATGACACTGGGTTAGTTGATAATCACAAGCGCTTTCTTGTTCGCGCCGTTCTTGCACGTAATTACGTTACGGTATTATGTACATCAATTAAGTATAATATGGAGATGGTAGAACCTACGAGTATAGGATGTAGAGATGTTCAATAACCACAAGCTGACGAATGGAACAAGTGAGCAATGTTTTCTTCAAGGCTCGCTAATATGTTTATCATCTATTCAAGCTGAAAGCTTTCTGTCAACATTACGATAACCGGCTATTTTGTTTTACCTGGACGGCGTTTAATTTTATCATATATAATAATAACTTTACATCGCATGATGTGAAACGCAAACTGACCACGACACTCGCATATAATAACCGGTAAAAATAAATTTAGCTCAGGTATTAGATATGTAGTGGATTTATACCAGAATTTAGACACGAATGATAGGAAGAGACGCTCCCCCTCCAACAACACACACACACACACACACACACACACACACACACACACACACACACACACACACACACACACACACACACACACACACACACTCACACACACACACGGCCGTCACCCGTCCGTACAGCACCTGTACATGTGCTTTTGTTCAGGAAAGGCACGGCCACGGCTATTGTTCTTGATTTGGCGCGCACTGCACCCTGTAGCACTCTGACCCCATCATATACTCGTTTACTCCCATGACCGCTTCTCGCAATGCCAGCCTCGATAAATCCAGGACAAGGGGCCAGTTTTCGGTGAGCTATGGATTGCGAGGGGGTCAAACGAAGAAGTTGTTCGTTTGACGAATATTTGTTATCGGTTCGTAAATCCTTTACTCTTGTATTTTTTCCGATAGCAGTTCAATAATTGGAACGATATTAGGAGTTTTTTTTACAGGGAGTAAGCATGGAAATCAAGTAATTCTGCAGTAACTTTCGTTGCGCACGCACCCCACCCCACACGCACACAACCACACCCCCAACACACGCACACCCCACCCACACCCACACACATATACGCGCGCACACAATATTTGATCATTAATCTCAAGCAACACCATTTATAAATATAAAGAAAAGCTATGCACGTGCGACGATAGGCATTATATATATAATATAATATAATATAATATGAAATCAACGTAAATTCACATTCACTATATTCTATAATGTACAACAGATACGTCGTAATAATTACAAGGAAGACTGTAGCATCAATTCACCCATGTTTTCGCATGAATGCTTTACAAGTGAAGTACATACATATATATATATATATACATACATAGTTATTTATTTATGGACATGTAATTCTTCGATATATATATATATATATATATGGAAGACAGTAGTTATTATTTATCGAGAATTATTTCTGGAACATAGAGAGGTCAGATAGAGAAGATAAAATCCCCGAGTGGAAGACTTAGATTAATTGCTAAGTTGCTATCATCGTTTGGTATAGGATTCATAAATCGATGAACACGAATGGATAATAAAAACGATTCTCAACTTGTAATTTAAAATCTCAAGTAATAAGAAATATCGACCGGAGATATTCACAAGCCGCAAAATATAAACTTCATTATCCGTTTGGACACGATTCGTTCGCAGGAGGTAAAATAAGTATATCTACCCGATCTTTAACCGACCAATAAACGTGGAATGACGTGTGTAGGAACGATAAATGTTCTAATATCTAGCAATCTTACTGGCAACAGCGTGCACGGGTTCTACAGTGTAGTAGTGATGTACAGTCGTTTTACTGCACGTCCCCTTTCGTTCGACCCTCGCAGTGTTCGGCCATTGCGAGAAAAACTGCCTTGATGTAATGTAACAGCGTGGATTCGACCGACCAGCCTGGCATTTGATACAACGCACACGCCAATCAAACGGACGTCGCCATGGAAACGGCCGGCGAAGATTTGCATGCATTGGCTGTTGCAAACATAAGCGAATGTAAGGAACGCGAGCGGGCTGGATGACAGCCAATTTTGCATAATTGCAGAGGCCGCCCTCTTTTTACTTTCGGCGCAAAGTCGACGGAGCGGGTTTAGAAAGCGACGGAATACGTTATACATGTACGTGCATGCACGGACAATAATTAACGAAATAGCGGATTGACTACAATTCGTGCGTCTGACATTGAGGTGATTATAGTTTCCAGTGTGCGATAATATTTAGGGAAAAGGGCGAAATAAATTTCGTTAACGAAATGAAACAAAATCAGGAAAAATAATGATAATAGAATAGTTTCCGTTAGGTGTGTTCGCGCGTGTTGGCGTGCATGAAAAGCAACGACGTCATGATGCCTAAATATACCGCGTGGATGCTTGTATTTGGGAGAAGATGACAACGTCAGAATGTTGAACGCTGGTTAAATAATTACCCGCTGAGTTATATATATATATATATATATATATATACCTTACGAGAGTACAACAATGCACAAGTGATCCTGCACTCATGATATATTTAATTTTGGAAAGCAAGTAGATATTAATTAGCGTAATTATTTCTCGATGATTCCGTGTATTCATATGATAGCTGGAGTGGAGATGGAGATGGAGTGGACGAGTGACAGCAGACGTTCTTTACCTCGGCCCTCAAAATCAGCATCAAATTTAACAATTTTACAGAGCCAATGTATCTTTACGAAGGTAACTTCGATACATACCTTTGTGAATCATACAATGAATAGACTTGAGTACAACGCAAATAAATCTTCGTGAATATTCAAGGGTTACAAACAGCTAACTAAAGAAATACGAATGTCCTATATAACTATTTATGAGTATTTATTTATTTATTTAGATATGAAGTCTTCGTCGATTTCCTTAGTTATACGTCCCGCAGCAATCCTGATTCTGCTAAACCGTTTAATCATCCCCGCTAATCACAACTGACGCGTGACGCCGAGACGAATATGGCAACGATGCCTCTCTAATTTACAGTACCTGATCTGCAAATGAATTTTACTTAAAAATCGACCCAGACACTATATTTCCGTCGTCATATCATCGTTCGCGCGGTCGCGGGGCCGGGCGCTATCTATTTATCGTTCTGAAGCAAGAAAAACATCTATATTAGTATGATAATGTTGTTCTAAGACAAAAAACTAGACAGAGCACGGTATAAACGGACTAGCAACTGCCATGCAGTATTGTTCTGTCATCGAAAGATCGAAGTTCAACAGTAATTATATACATTCGGCATAGCACCCCAACATGTCGGCGCGCGTCTCTTCGACCTTTTCTCAGTGAAATATTTGTTGGTATCGATCGAGCTACTCAGCGTACGTCGGCGTTGAAACGCGACGCCGGCC